GGGAGCCCTGCGGCCCCCAGCACTTCACCCCCGTGAGTGCTCCGGGGGGGCGGGCGCAGGCGGGGCCAGGGGGTGGCTGGCCATGGCCCGAGGCAGGTCGCTGGCTCTGCGTTTTGGGATGTGGGGGGGCAGGGCTCGGGGGGGCGGATGGCAATGGCCCGAGGCAGGTCGCTGGCTCTGCGTGTTGGGGTGGGGCGGGGGGGGCTGGGGGGCTCGGGGGGTGGCTGGCAATGGCCCGAGGCAGGTCGCTGGCTCTGCGTGTTGGGGTGGGGCGGGGTGGGGCTGGGGGGCTCGGGGGGTGGCTGGCAATGGCCCGAGGCAAGTCGCTGGCTCTGCGTGTTGGGGGGGGGGGGGGGGGCTGGGGGGCTCGGAGTTGGCGGCTGGCCATGGCCCGAGGCAGGTTGCTGGCTCTGCGTGTTGGGGGGGGGGGGGGGGGGGGGGGGGTTCGGGGGGCGGCTGGCCATGGCCCGAGGCAGGTCGCTGGCTGCGTGTTGGGGGAAGGCAGCTGGCCATGGTCCGAGGCAGGTTGCTGGCTCTTCGTTTTGGGGTGGGGCGGGGGGGCTGGGGGGGCTCGGGGGGGCGGCTGGCAATGGTCCGAGGCAGGTCGCTGGCTCTGCGTGTTGGGGTGGGGCAGGGGGGTGGGGGGCTCGGGGAGGCAGCTGGCCATGGTCCGAGGCAGGTCGCTGGCTCTGCGTGTTGGGGTGGGGCGGGGGGGCTGGGGGGCTCGGTGTGGGCGGCTGGCCATAGCCCGAGTCAGGTCGCTGGCTCTGCGTGTTGGGGTGGGGCGGGGGGGGCTGGGGGGGTTCGGGGGGGTGGCTGGCAATGGCCCGAGGCAGGTCGCTGGCTCTGCGTGTTGGGGTGGGGCGGGGGTGGGGCTGGGGGGGTCGGGGGGGCGGCTGGCCATGGCCCGAGGCAGGTTGCTGACTCTGCGTGTTGGGGGGGGCAGGGGGGGGTTCGGGGGCGGCTGGCCATGGCCCGATGCAGGTCGCTGGCTGCGTGTCGGCGGGAGGCGGCTGGCCATGGCCCGAGGCAGGTTGCTGGCTCTGCGTGTTGGGGAGGGGGGTGGGGCTGGGGGTCTCGGGGGCGGCTGGCGATGGCCGAGGCGGTCGCTGGCTCTGTGTGTTGGGGTGGAGGGGGTGGGGCTGGGGGTCTCAGGGGGGCGGCTGGCGATGGCCCGAGGCAAGTCGCTGGCTCTGCGTGTTGGGGAGGGGGCGGGGGGGCTGGGGGCCTCGGGGGGGCGGCTGGCCATGGCCCGAGGCAGGTCGCTGGCTCTGCGTGTTGGGGGGGGCCGGGGGGTCTCAGGGGGGCGGCTGGCCATGGCCCGAGGCAGGTCGCTGGCTCTGTGTGTTGGGGGGGGGGGTGGGGCTGGGGGCCTCGGGGGGGCGGCTGGCCATGGCCCGAGGCAGGTCGCTGGCTCTGCGTGTTGGGGGGGGCAGGGGGGGTTCGGGGGCGGCTGGCCATGGCCCGAGGCAGGTCGCTGGCTCTGCGTGTTGGGGGGGGAGGCGGGGGGGGGTTCGGGGGCGGCTGGCCATGGCCCGAGGCAGGTCGCTGGCTGCGTGTCGGCGGGAGGCGGCTGGCCATGGTCCGAGGCAGGCTGCTGGCTCTGCGTGTTGGGGGGGGCGCGGGGGGGGGCTGGGGGGCTCGGGGGGGCGGCTGGCCATGGCCCGAGGCAGGTCGCTGGCTCTGCGTGTTGGGTGGCGGGATGGGTACAGATGGGGCTGGGGGGCTCGGCTGGCCGCAGTCCGAGGCAGGTCGATGGTGCTGCGTGTTGGGGGGCGGGGCAGGCGCAGACGGGGCTGGGGGGTTCGGGGGGGCGGCTGGCCATGTCCCGAACCAGGTCACTGGCTCTGCGTGTTGGGATGCGGGGGTGACTCTGCGGGCGTTTGAGTGGCTCACACATGGCAGCGATGGGGGCTGGAGAGAACGGGAGGGACAGGAGCCCCCTCCCAGATCCCCGCCCCGCTCTGCCCCACAGCAGATGGGACCCGTGGGATCTTGCTGCCTTGGAGTCTCTCCCCCCACCCCCCCGCCATCTCAGAGATGCCCGCCACACCCAAATGCCAGGGAGGTGCCTTGTGTTACTTTGCCAGTGGGGTGGGGGAGTGAGGTGGGCCGGGGAGGGGCCGTGTGGCTGGGGGGGTTGGGGAGGGGGCCTTGTGGCTGAGGGCAGGCTCACGTGGGGGGCTGTGATGCAGGGAGGTGGGAGGGTGGACTGGGGGGGCGTGGGGTGAAAGCTGGGAGGCCATGTGGCTGGGTGCAGGGTCATGGGAGGCGTGGGCTGTGATGCAGGGAGGTGGGGGGCTGGACCTTAACCAACCTGCCTGGTGCAGGGCAGACAGAAGCGACAGGATCAGGGTGGATCCGCTCCCCAATGGGTCCCGGAGACCCTCCCGTACCCCCTTGCGGGTCCAGCAGGTGCCTGGGGACACAGCCCAGCATGGCCCCCTGGACCTGGGTGCGAGCCCCTGGCCAGCTGGCAGCAGGGGGCGCACTCCATGGGGGCACCAGGCTCAGACCCCCCAAGGCTCCCGTGCTCCAGCCCGGGGGTCCGTGAGCTCCGGCTCCGCACTGGAGGCGTGTGGGGCTGACGTGCCGCTGGCTGGCTGGGCACCAGGGGCCGGACTCCCCGTTCCCCGCAGTAGCAGCTGGAGGCAGGATCCTGGCTGCAGCCTGGTGCTTTGGGGGGTGTAACGAGGCGGGTTCTGGCGGGACCCCACGGAGAGGGGCCAATTCAGGACCAACTGCTTCACGCAGGGCAGTCACAGCCCCAGGCTGGGGTTTTTCCACCTCTACGGCAAACCCAACCAGCCAGACAGAGAGGACTTTGGTTTTACCCCACTGGGTAACCACAAGTCACACAAGCAATTCCCTTAGACACTCAAGTTTCCCAGTATCCCCACCAGGGCCACTTGTTATAGGGACGAATGGTTACGAAAACGAATACCCCAGTAAAAGAACAAAGGTTCTCTCGATCCCAAAGGACCCAGACCCAGGTCAATGTACAAATCAGATCTTACCCACAAATCACACCAATCCTTTAGAATCTAAAATCTAAAGGTTTCCTCATAAAAGGAAAAAGATAGAGATGATTTAGTTGGGATTGGTCCTGCTTTGAGCAGGGGGTTGGACGAGATGAACTTCTGAGGTCCCTTCCAACCCTGATATTCTAGGATTCTATGAGAGCCAGAATTGGTGAAATGGACTCAGTGACATACAGTAACGGCAAAGCTCTTGGTTCAGGCTTGTAGCAGGGATGGAATAAACGGCAGGTTCAAATCCAGTCTCTGGAGAACATCCCCAGCTGGGATGGGTCCTTCAGTCCTTGGTTCAAAGCTTCAGTGTAGCCAAGTCCCTCCAGAGGTCGGAAGCAGGACTGAAGACAAGATGGAGGAGCTGCAGCAGCTTTTGAAAGTCTCTTGCCATGTGGCCTCTTTCTTTGTCCTAAGGACAAGCTGCCCATCCCATGGCCTGGAAACACCTCAGAGTCCTGTCCCTAGGCAGGTCCCTGCACACCTGGCTGAGTCCCCAGGCGTGTCTGCCTTCTCTCAATGGGTCAGTTGTGTCGCTGATGGTCCTTAATGGGCCACCCAGCAGGCTAATGTGACAAAGTGGGACTGTTCTTAATGTTTCCTCTGAATAGTGTGGGGGGACCTCACTTTCCCCTAGGCAGTTCTTAAATCTCTAGGTGGTGGGGAAGGGTGTATGATCATTGCAGAGCCCTAGAGGGCAGGGGTGTGCAGGGGTCTGGACACAGAGAATGGCCGACACCCGGTTTCCTGGCCACTGATGGCCTGGGCCCTTCCCCCCTGCAAGGTGAGAGCTGAAGGGTTGGAGAACAAAGGAATCAGGTGACCTCCTGGCCTGGGAAAGGAACAAAGCCCAGAGGAGGAGGGGCTGGAGGGAGTTTCAGTTTGGGGCTGGCTGGGACATGGAGTGAAGGGCAGACGTGGTTGTCTGGCTCACTGCCCCCAAAATGGACCCAGCTGAGCGGTCCTGTTCTCTGCACCCACAAGCTCTGTGTTAGACCATGTTCCTGTCGTCTAATAAACCTCGGTTTTACTGGCTGGCTGAGAGTCCCGTCTGACTGCGAAGTTGGGGGGCAGGACCCTCTGGCCCCCCCAGGACCCCGCCTGGGCAGACTCGCTGTGGGAAGTGCACGGAGGGGCAGAGGAGGCTGAATGCTCCGAGGTCAGACCCAGGAAGGTGGAAGCCGGAGGAGCTGTGTGTCCTGCAGACAGGCTGCTCCCTGAGAGGAGACTCCCCCAGAGTCCTGCCTGGCTTCATGGGGAGCAGGTCCAGAGCATCACCCAGGGACTCCGTGACAGCTAGGCTGACACCAACTTGTCTGGGGTGTTCCCCAGAAGCAGAGCACAAGTTTGAAACAGACAGTACAGAGCCAATATTCATAACTTTAACTACAAAATGGTACACGCACACACAGACAGCATCACCCTAACCAGCCAGCCATCACCTTGTCTGAGACACCTCGTTTGACCCCCTTTGTACAGGATTTGATGCCAGTACAGGACCCTGGTTGCAACGATGATCTATACGGTCCCAGATTATGTCAGTAACGTCACAGGGTGTATCCGGGTCAGGATCGAAGGGCCCCGGCAGAGCTGTGTGTCGGGGGGAGCCCAGGGCGGGGCTAGCGGGGGGCTGCAGGTTGGAGGGCAGGAGTTCTGAAGGGCCGATGGGGGCAGTTCAGGGGCAGGGCCCGGGTGCTCCGCGCTGTGGCTGTTCTGTCTCCCAGGGCCCACAGGGGGACAGGTCAGGGCCCCTGGGGCAGAGCGTAGCTCAGTGCAGTGCTGAGGCTGCTCTAGCAGACGCTGGGTCGGGCAGGGCCGGGCAGGGCCTCAGACAGGGGAGCGCCAGGTGGCTGTAAAGCCCCACGTCTCCCTGGCCCCGAGCGTGGGGCCGTGGTCAGAGCCCCGCCCCAGGGCCGCTGGCTGGGCTCCCCCGGGTGGCACTAACCCCGCCCCCCTCTCCCTCTTCCCTAGGTCTACACCCGCTATGGCAAGTGCTACACCTTCAACGCCGACGGGAGGCGCCCGCGCGTGGCCCGCCAGGGCGGCCGGGGCAACGGGCTGGAGCTGATGCTGGACGTCCAGCAGGAAGAGTACCTGCCCATCTGGAGAGAGACCAGTGAGCCCGGGGGCGGGAGCTGGGGGGCCGGACAGCGGCCCGGGGGGCCTGTCCCAGGCTGGGGGCGAGGAGCCGGGGCTGCCGTCTGCAGCACCAACCCGCCGGCCTTTCCCTGCCTCCCGCAGATGAGACGTCGTTCGAGGCCGGGATCCGGGTGCAGATCCACAGCCAGGAGGAGCCGCCCTACATCCACCAGCTGGGCTTTGGGGTCTCCCCCGGCTTCCAGACCTTCGTGTCCTGCCAGGAGCAGAGGGTGAGGCTGTGCCGGTCCCTGAGCTCATCGTTAGCGAGGGTGTCGGGGCGCTGGGCGGGGCAGGCTGGGGTGGGGGGTCAGAGTTGGCTGGGGGGGTCAGAGGAGGGCAGAGCTACGTGAGGCTCTGGGGGCAGAGCTGGCCAGGTGGGGCTGAGGGGGACAGAGTTGGTCAGATGGGCTGGAGGGAGGGGGGCAGAGCTGGCCGGTGGTCGAGAGGGGTTGTGGGGGCTGTGGGACAGTGGGTGAAGCTGGCTGGGGGGGTTGGGGAACTGAGGGAGACAGAGCTGGCGGGTGGGGTTATGTGGGACACTGGGCAGAGCTGGCTGGGTGAGGCCGAGAGGGGGCAGAGCTGGCTGGGGGGGCTAAGGGGGGAGCTGGCTGGGGGGGCTGTGGGGCAGTGGGCGGAGCTGGCTGGGCGGGGCTGAGGGGGGAGCTGGCTGGGGGGGCTGTGGGGCAGTGGGCAGAGCTGGCTGGGAGGTGCTGAGGGGGGAGCTGGCTGGGGGGGCTGTGGGGCAGTGGGCAGAGCTGGCTGAGTGGGACTGAGGGGGCGGAGCTGGCCGGGGGGGGCTCTGAGGGGGGAGCTGGCTGGGGGGCTGTGGGGCAATGGGCAGAGCTGGCTGAGTGGGGCTGAGGGGGGGCCCGGGTAGCTACGAGGCTGTGGGGGGCCAAGCCGGCGGGCGGCTCCCCTCCCCGGGGCGGGCTGCACCCTCCCCCTGCGGCTCTGGCGCTCCTGGCACGAGCCCGGCGATGGGCCCTGGTCCCTCCAGCCAGCGCGGCCCCAGGAGCCTCCCTGCGCCCGGCTCCGGGCGGGTCTCTCCCGGGGGGGGCTGCCGGCTGCGCTGCCCCCGCCCTCACCGCCCCCCTCCGGCCCGCAGCTCACCTACCTGCCCCAGCCCTGGGGGAGTTGCCGGGCCAGCGTGCCCGGGGAGCAGATCCTGCCAGGCTACGAGGGCTACAGCATCGCGGCCTGCCGTCTGCAGTGCGAGAAGGAGGCCGTGGTGAGCAGCTGCCAATGCCGCATGGTGCACATGCCAGGTGAGACCCTCCCCACCCCACCCTGTGCCAGGTGAGACCCCCCCCACCCCGCCCCCCCGCTCTGTGCCAGGTGAGACCCCCCCTGCCCCCGTCCTGTGCCAGGTGAGACCCCCCCTGCCCCTGTCCTGTGCCAGGTGAGACCCTGTCATGGAGTCCCCGGGCGATGCTCGGGAACTGCTCCCCACGAAGCCAGCCAGGACTCTGGGGGAGTCTCCTCTCGGGGAGCAGCCTGTCTGCAGGACACACAGCTCACCCGGCTTCCACCTTCCTGGGTCTGACCTCGGAGCATTCAGCATCCTCTGCCCCTCCGTGCGCTTCCCCCAGCGAGTCCGCCCAGGCGGGGTCCTGGGGGGGCCAGAGGGTCCTGCCCCCCAACTCCGCAGTCAGACGGGACTCTCAGCCAGCCAGTAAAACAGAAGGTTTATTAGACGACAGGAACATGGTCTAACACAGAGCTTGTAGGTGCAGAGAACGGGACCCCTCAGCTGGGTCCGTTCTGGGGGGGCAGTGAGCCAGACAACCACGTCTGCACTTCACTCCATGTCCCAGCCAGCCCCAAACTGAAAACCCCCTCCAGCCCCTCCTCCTCTGGGCTTTGTCCCTTTCCCGGGCCAGGAGGTCACCGGATTCCTTTGTTCTCTAACCCTTCAGCTCTCACCTTGCGGGGGGGGAAGGGCCCAGGCCATCAGTGGCCAGGAAACAGGGTGTCGGCCATTCTCTGTGTCCAGACCCCTGCACACACCTGCCCTCTAGGGCTCTGCAATGATCACACACCCTTACCCCACCCCCTAGATACTTAAGAACTGCCTAGGGGAAACTGAGGCACCCCCACACTATTCAGAGGAAACGTTAAGAACAGTCCCACTTCGTCACACCCATCACTTAGATACTTGAGTAGCACATGGGGGAAACTGAGGCACACACCATATTCAGAGAAGACATGAAGAACATTCCCACGTCGTCACAGCCCTGCTGCTGCCCCCGCAACTCTCGGACAAACTTGGAGCTTCGCTTGGGCCTGGAACCTGCCTCTTGGCCTGGCCCCCCTCCTGCAGCTGCGCAATGAGTGTCAGGGACTCACGGGACTCACGCTCTCTCTCAGCTCCATGCGGTCCCTGGGGGTCCACTCTCCACGGGGCTTCCCCCCAGGAGTGAGACCCTGCGGGGGCCTGACCCACTGACGGGCCTCCCATAGCCTGTCCCCACGCTGGGGCATGACCCCCATCCTGCGGGTCCGTGACAGCCATGTCCCGTGGAAGGGAGCCTGTGGAGGGTGCTGGGGGAAGAGGGGTTTTTGCCCTGTCAGGAGGAGGAGCTGCAGGGCTGAGGGGGGGCATGCGAGGGACGGGGCACCCCAAGGCTGAGCAGGGCACCCCAGGGGGAGGGGGCACCATGGGATCAAGGGAGGCACCCTGGGGGGAGGGGATGCTGTGGGGCCAACGGATGCCCTGGGGGGCCCAGGAGGGTGCCCTGTCGGGAGGGCAGCCTGGCACCCAAGGTTGGCAGCGGCTCTGGGACAGGCCGGGGCTGGCAGGGATCCGCGGGCATCGCTAACCGGGTTCCTTCTCCCAGGGAACGAGTCCATCTGCTCGCCCAACGTCTACATCGAATGCGCCGACCAGACGCTCGGTAGGTGCCGCCTGGCGTCACGCCTCCCCCAGGGACCCCCAGGGTCAGCAGGGAACCCGCCGTGGGGAGGGGGAGGGGCAGCAAGCATTGTGGGCAGGGGGAGGGAGGGGCTGGCAGTGCAGGAAGGGGGAGGGGCAGCTGGCAGTGGAGGAAGGGGGAGGGGCAGCTGGCACTGCAGAGAGGGGGAGGGGCAGCTGGCACTGCAGAGGGGGGGGCAGCTGGCAGTGGAGGAAGGGGGAGGGGCAGCTGGCACTGCAGAGAGGGGGGCAGCTGGCAGTGCAGGAAGGGGGAGGGGCAGCTGGCACTGCAGAGAGGGGGAGGGGCAGCTGGCACTGCAGAGAGGGGGAGGGGCAGCTGGCACCCAGGGCTCCGGGGAGGGGCAAGGAGGGGCAGGGGGGAGAACACCCCGCGCGTGGGGCTGTGGGGCCCACCCTGCCCAGCGTGCTGGGAGCTTTGGGGGCGCGTGGGGCAGCGTGGGGCCCGATGCCCATGCCCTGCCGTGTGCGGGCAGACGCGGCGCTGGAGGACCCCCAGGAGCGCTGCAGCTGCCCCACGCCCTGCAACCTGACCCGCTACGGCAAGGAGATCTCCATGGTGCGCATCCCCAACAAGGGCTCGGCCCGCTACCTCGCCCGCAAGTACCACCGCAACGAGACCTACATCCGGTGAGCGCCCCCTGCCCCCTGCCCCACAGCGCCCCCTGCCCCCTGCCCCACAGCACCCCCTGCCCCACAGCGCCCCCTGCCCCAGCCCCCGCTACCTCGCCCGCAAGTACCACCGCAACGAGACCTACATCCGGTGAGCGCCCCCTGCCCCCTGCCCCACAGCGCCCCCTGCCCCACAGCGCCCCCTGCCCCACAGCGCCCCCTGCCCCCTGCCCCACAGCACCCCCTGCCCCACAGCGCCCCCTGCCCCAGCCCCCGCTACCTCGCCCGCAAGTACCACCGCAACGAGACCTACATCCGGTGAGCGCCCCCTGCCCCCTGCCCCACAGCGCCCCCTGCCCCACAGCGACCACCTACCCCACAGCGCCCCCCTGCCCCAGCCCCCGCTACCTCGCCCGCAAGTACCACCGCAACGAGACCTACATCCGGTGAGCGCCCCCTGCCCCCTGCCCCACAGCGCCCCCTGCCACCTGCCCCACAGCGCCCCCTGCCCCACAGCGCCCCCTGCCCCCTGCCCCACAGCGACCCTGCCCCACAGCGCCCCCTGCCCCAGCCCCCGCTACCTCGCCCGCAAGTACCACCGCAACGAGACCTACATCCGGTGAGCGCCCCCTGCCTCCTGCCCCACAGCGCCCCCTGCCCCCTGCCCCACAGCGCCCCCTGCCCCACAGCGCCCCCCTGCCCCAGCCCCCTGCTACCTCGCCCGCAAGTACCACCGCAACGAGACCTACATCCGGTGAGCGCCCCCTGCCCCCTGCCCCACAGCGCCCCCTGCCCCCTGCCCCACAGCGACCACCTACCCCACAGCGCCCCCCTGCCCCCTGCCCCACAGCGCCCCCTGCCCCACAGCGACCACCTACCCCACAGCGCCCCCTGCCCCACAGCGCCCCCTGCCCCCTGCCCCACAGCGCCCCCTGCCCCACAGCGACCACCTACCCCACAGCGCCCCCTGACCCAGCCCCCGCTACCTCGCCCGCAAGTACCACCGCAATGAGACCTACATCCGGTGAGCGCCCCCTGCCCCCTGCCCCACAGCGCCCCCTGCCCCACAGCGCCCCCTGCCCCCTGCCCCACAGCGACCACCTACCCCACAGCGCCCCCCTGCCCCAGCCCCCGCTACCTCGCCCGCAAGTACCACCGCAACGAGACCTACATCCGGTGAGCGCCCCCTGCCCCCTGCCCCACAGCGCCCCCTGCCCCACAGCGCCCCCTGCCCCCTGCCCCACAGCGACCCTGCCCCACAGCGCCCCCTGCCCCAGCCCCCGCTACCTCGCCCGCAAGTACCACCGCAACGAGACCTACATCCGGTGAGCGCCCCTGCCCCCTGCCCCACAGCGCCCCCTGCCCCACAGCGCCCCCTGCCCCACAGCACCCCCCTGCCGCAGCCCCCCAGTTCCCACTGCCCCCAGTGCCCACTTGACCCTGCCCCCCAGTGCCCCTCCTGCCCCCACAGCACCCACTGTGCCCGCGCCGACCCCCCCCGGCTGTGCCCACGCCGAGCCCCTGTTCCCGTTTGTCCCGCCCGCAGAGAGAACTTCCTGGTGCTGGACATTTTCTTCGAGGCGCTGAACTACGAGGCCATCGAGCAGAAGAAGGCCTACGAGCTGGCGGGGCTGCTGGGTGAGTCGCTGGAGCCCCCGCGCCCCGGACCCGGGCACCCCCCGCGCTGCCCCGCCCCATCCCCCCTCCCCTCGCGCCCCCGCCCCGGGCACCCCCCATGCCACCCGGCCCACCCGGGGTGCCCCCATCCCATCCCTCGTGCCCCCGTCCCTGGGCACCCCCTGTGCCACCCTGCCCATCTGGGACGCTCCCGCCCCATCTCCCCACCCCTCGCGCCCCCGTTCCGGGCACCCCCCATGCCACCCCGCCCACCCGGGGTGCCCCCATCCCATCCCTCGCACCCCCATCCCTGGGCACCCCCTCGCTGCCCCGCCCCATCCCCCCACCCCTGTGCCCCCGTCCCGGGCACCCCCCGCGCCACCCTGCCCATCCGGGGTGCCCCCATCCCATCCCTCGTGCCCCCGTCCCCGGGCACCCCCCATGCCACCCGGCCCACCCGGGGTGCCCCCATCCCATCCCTCGCACCCCCGTCCCCGAGCACCCCCGCGCTGCCCCACCCCATCCCCCAACCCCTGTGCCCCCGTCCCGGGCACCCCCGCGCTGCACCGCCCCATCCCCCCACCCCTGTGCCCCCATCCCCGGGCACCCCCCATGCCACCCGGCCCACCCGGGGTGCCCCATCCCATCCCTCGCGCCGCCGTCCCCGAGCACCCCCGCGCTGCCCCGCCCCATCCCCCCACCCCTGTGCCCCCGTCCCGGGCACCCCCCATGCCACCCGGCCCACCCGGGGTGCCCCCATCCCATCCCTCGTGCCCCCATCCCCGAGCACCCCCGCGCTGCCCCGCCCCATCTCCCCACCCCTCGCGCCCCCGTTCCGGGCACCCCCCATGCCACCCCGCCCACCCGGGGTGCCCCATCCCATCCCTCGCACCCCCGTCCCTGGGCACCTCCTGTGCCACCCCGCCCCTTCCCCCCATCCCCAGCACCCCATCCCTGGGCACCCCCTGCCCCGCCCCGCCCCATCCCCCCACCCCCTGCGCCCCCATCCCTGGGCACCCATGCCACCCTGCCCACCCGGGTTGCCCCCTCCCCATCCTCCCACCCCTCGCACCCCTGTCCCTGGACACCCCCACACCACCCCGCCCATCCCCCCACCTCCTGTGTCCCTGTCCCTGGGCACCCATGCCACCCTGCTCACCCGGGTTGCCCCCTCCCCATCCTCCCACCCCTCGCACCCCTGTCCCTGGACACCCCTGCACCACCCCGCCCATCCCCCCACCCCCTGTGCCCCTGTCTCTGGGCACCCCCTGTGCCACCCTGCCCCATCCCTCCACCTCATGCGCCCCCCATACCCGGGCACCCCTGCGCCGTCCCGCCCAGTCTGTGGTGCCCCCTCCCCATCCCCTCGCCCCTACCTCCGACCACCCCAGGACACAGCCCGAGGGAACCTCTCACCTCCCCCCGGGGCCGGCGCTGATGGGTCCCGTTCCCCGCACACACCCGCAGCCCCCAGCCACAGCGGGTCCCCACGGCCGATAATGGAGGGACGGGGGCGCTTGGCCCTGGGGTGCCCTGCGTGGGGCAGATGCCTGGCAGGGCCATGGGGCAGCATTCGACTGGCTGTAATAACCCCCCACCCCACTCCTCTCCCATGCCCCACACTGTCCCCTCCTCCCCCCCAGTGCCTGCCAACACCCTCCCACTGCCCCCTCCTCCTGCCCCCTCCCACTCTCACTAGCCCCCCCACAGCTCCCCCTCCTCCCCCCACTGCTCCCCAACACCCTCCCGCTGCCCCCTCCTCCTGCCTCCTCCCTCTCTCAGTAGCCCCCCCACGGCTCCTCCCTCCTCCCCCCACTGCTCCCCAACACCCTCCCACTGCCCCCCCTCCTGCCCCCTCCCACTCTCACTAGCCCCCCCCACAGCTCCCCCTCCTCCCGCCACTGCTCCCCAACACCCTCCCGCTGCCCCTCCTCCTGCCCCCTCCCACTCTCACTAGCCCCCCCCACAGCTCCCCCGCCTCCCCCCACTGCTCCCCAACACCCTCCCGCTGCCCCCTCCTCCTGCCCCCTCCCACTCTCACTAGCCCCCCCCCACGCCTCCCCCTCCTCCCCCCGGCACCAGTGGCTCTGGGGAGTCAGTCAGGTGCCCGCCCTGGCAGTGCCCGTCCCCCCGGGTCCTGTCCCGGCCGCAGGGCTGAGCCGGGCTGGCTCTGGCAGCCCCTTCCCCCCGTGCCCCCCAATCCCCCGTGACCAGCTCCCTCTCTGCTGCCAGGGGACATCGGGGGGCAGATGGGGCTGTTCATCGGCGCCAGTGTCCTGACCATCCTGGAGATCCTGGACTACGTCTATGAGGTGAGCACCAGCGCGGGCCTGGGTGTGGGCGCTGCGGGAGGCACAGCAGAGCACCCATCTCTCGCCCCCCATTGCGGCTCGGGGCTGAGTGCCCGCCCTGGGCACCGGTGGGGCCGGACGGCTCCGCCCGGGGTGTCGGCTCCACACCGCCCCGTCACGGCGTCCCCGGGCCATGCTCTGGGACTGCTCCCCACGAAGCCAGGCAGGACTCTGGGGGAGTCTCCTCTCGGGGAGCAGCCTGTCTGCAGGACACACAGCTCACCCGGCTCCACCTTCCTGGGTCTGACCTCGGAGCATTCAGCCTCCTCTGCCCCTCCGTGCGCTTCCCACAGCGAGTCCACCCAGGCGGGGTCCTGGGGGGGCCAGAGGGTCCTGCCCCCCAACTCCGCAGTCAGACGTGACTCTCAGCCAGCCAGCAAAACAGAAGGTTTATTAGACGACAGGAACATGGTCTAACACAGAGCTTGTAGGTGCAGAGAACAGGACCCCTCAGCTGGGTCCATTTTGGGGGGCAGTGAGCCAGACAACCCCGTCTGCCCTTCACTCCTTGTCCCCAGCCAGCCCCAAACTGAAACTCCCTCCAGCCCCTCCTCCTCTGGGCTTTGTCCCTTTCCCGGGCCAGGAGGCCACCTGATTCCTTTGTTCTCCAACCCTTCAGCTCTCACCTTGCAGGGGGGGAAGGGCCCAGGCCATCAGTGGCCAGGAAACAGGGTGTCGGCCATTCTCTGTGTCCAGACTCCTGCACACACCTGCCCTCTAGGGCTCTGCAACGATCATACACCCTTATCCCACCCCCTAGAGACTTAAGAACTGCCTAGGGGAAACTGAGGCACCCCCACACTATTCAGAGGAAACATTAAGAACAGTCCCGCTTCATCACAGCCCCCTGCAAGCCCCTAGTGTTCTTTGAGCTGGGGTGGGGGGACAGATCTCCCCATGGCTCATATCCCCCCTGCCCCATGACGCCCGGCGAAGGAGCAGGCGGCCGGAGGGGGGAGAGCTCCGAGATGGACAAAGGAGGGGCTAACCCACCACCCTGATTGAGTATGTGTGAATGTGCGTGTCTGGTCTTGTGTACACATGTGTCTGGGCGTGTCTGTACACGTGTCTGGATGTGTGTACATGTGTGTCTGGGCATGTCTGTACACGTGTGTCTGGGCTGTACACGTGTCTGGGCATGTGTACGGGTGGTCTGTACATGTGTGTCTGGGCTGTACTCGTGTGTCTGGGTGGTCTGTACACGTGTCTCTGGGCGTGTCTGTACATGTGTGTCTGGGCTGTACTCGTGTGTCTGGGCGTGTCTGTACATGTGTCTGGGTGTGTGTCTGGGTGGTCTGTACACGTGTGTCTGGGTGGTCTGTACACACGTGCGCTGAGCAGCTCCCCCCCCCCCACGCTCTCGCCCGCCCAGGTGATCCGGGACAAGGTGAGCCGGGCTCTGGGCCGCTCCAAGCCGCCCCTGAGGAAGCCAGCGGGCAGCATCGCCACGCTGGGGCTGGAGGAGCACAACGATCAGGTACGCGGCCCCCGGGCGTGGTGAACGGGCCCAGCCAGCGACACCGGGCGGGAGGAGGGTGGGTGAGGCGGGGGGGGCTTTTTGGGTGGGGGGAAAGGGGCCTGGACAGTGAGACGCCAGGGGCAGGGTGGGGGGAGTTTAAGCACAAAGAGGGGGATTTTGTAAGTGCGGCGCTGACGGTTCTCACCCCTTGTCCCCGCGCCGCGGGGCTGAGATCAATGCTGCTGGGTCCCTGCACGGAGGCGGCTCCCTGCCAGGCTGGGCACGGCCCCAGACGCACCATCAGGCTGGGCACCCCCCGCTCCCCAGCCCCCTGGGGCCCCGTCGGGCTGGGCATGGCAGGTCGTTCAGCACATCCCGCTCCCCAGACACGCTGGGTTTTACGCCGTCTCAGACCATGGGGATTTCAGGCTGGAAAGGCCCAGCTAGTCCTGCCCCCGCGCTGGGCCGAGACCAAGTAACCCCAGTCTGTCCCCGCCAGGGCCTTGGCCCACCCTTTCCTAAGACCCTCCCGGGTCGGGGGCTCCACCGGCTGCCCTTTGCCGCGGCCCGTCGCCCCGGTTGTCTGGGCAGGTGCCCGCTAGTGCTGGCCGAGGTCTCTGCTTGTTACAAGGGGGCCCTGCGGCCCTGAGACTGGCCCACGGCGTCAGCCCCCACCTCTGTATTTGGGGTGCATTAGCCGAGCTAGGCTGGAGCCCAGGCCCCGGGGCTGTGCCATGGGCGCGGAGTGACCCACTGTGCAATGATGCTGGTAATCGCTCGCCCGGTGTCGCGAACTCGGCCGCTGTGGCCGTCAGCACCGGCTGGATTTAGTTTAATTTCCTCCTAGTGCAAAAATCAAAGTCATTAAAACTCCTTGGAAAGGCTCATTGCTCGTGTCTGTGCGACCAGCAGCAGGGACCAGGGACCTCTCCCAGGCCCCAGGGAAACCAGCCCAGGGGCCGGCTGCCTGCCCGGGGGCCTGGGGCTCTGCTGGCTGCAGGGGCTGGTGGCCGTAGCTGGCGATCGACTCGTCCGGCGCCCCCCAGCCCGAGCGACAGGCGGGTCTGGGGCTGACGGTGCTCTCGCTCTGGGGTCAGTCAGGGGTAGCTCTGTGCGCGGCCGCGGTGTGACGCCAGGTCCCAGAGAGTGGGGGAGACCAGAACCCGGCCCCTAGTGAGCGGCACGTGCCAGGCCCGGTGCTGACTGTCCCTGGGGGATGCCCGTGGCTGCCCCGTCACCGCAGGAGCACGGTGGCCAGGCCGCGCTGCCCCCTGGCCACCGTGGGCAGGTAGGGCCAGTGTCCGGCAGGTGCCCTTGTCATGCCCGCATCGTGATCACACTGCAATTGCTCTGGGACAGGCGTTACAGCGTCACTGGTTCCTCCGAGCGAGGGGAGATGGAGGGGGCTGGGGGGAGGGCTCCCGGCCCTGGGGGCTGGGGGCTGGGGGGAGGGCTCCCGGCCCTGGGTGCAAATGGCTGATACAAACAACCCAGCGGAGTCGCTCTGTATGGGGCTGGTGTGTCCAGTGCCCCGGTGCCCGGCTGCAGCCAGGGACCCTGGGGGGTCGTTTAATCTCCAGCTGGTGGAGTGAGGGGGGAGCCAGGCCCAGGCTAACGGCGAGGGGTGTTTGTCCCCTGCATGGATGGGGCCTGTCTCATTGATGGGGCCTGGTCGGACCCTGCCCTGGGCTGTAACCACGTCCCCACACACACGTGGCCGGTGTGGTGAAGGCAGGGCCGGAGACAGCCCCCTGGGGCCTGTACCGCGGCTGGATGGCACCGGGCTCCTCGCCCTGCCCTGGGCTCTCAGGGACGGGCAGGGCCTCGCCAGCAGGAGGTGCAGAAACACCTGGGGGAGGGTGTCGGCTGGGGGAGGGGAACGTACGGCCCAGCAGAGCCGGCCCACGGGCCTCGCAGGCCGGGAGGGGTCTCGCGGGGGGGGGGGGGCACCAGGCCTAGCTCCCTGGGGGGCAGGGGGACCCCGGCTGCGGTGCTGACAGTGCCTTCCCCTGCAGAGCCCCTGCGGGACGCTGGGCCGACACGCCGAGGGCACCTACAGCACCAGCATCCTGCCCAACCACCGCCACCGCGATGCCCACCAGGGCGTCTTCGAGGACTTCGCCTGCTAGGCCGGGCTCAGCACTGCGGGCGCGAAGGGCCCCCCCAGCCCCACGGGCTGCACGGAGAACGGCACCAGCGCCTGGCACGGTGGGCACCGGGCCCATCCCCTCCCCAGCCGGCCCCCCGCCCCAGCCCGTCAGCCACACCTGGCGCCTCCCGGAGAGGCCGTAGATGCTTTGGACCCTCACCCCTGCCCGCTCCCCTCCCGCCCGGCCCCAGGACCGGCCCAGCACGGCAGCCCCACGCCCAGCCAGCGCCGGGGTTGGCCCAGCACGAAGCACCCAGCGCAGAACAGAGCCGCGCAGCCCTGCCCCAGGGAGCAGCCGGCCTGGACAGACGTGGCACCGGCCGGAAAACAGCCCGGCCCGAGGACCGGGCCCAGCACGGGGACCGGGGGACGTGCCGGGGGGGCAGGGACCATGTGTAAATGCTGCATTTGGCTGTGGAGGTGAAACCCCGCCCCCAGTGTGGATGAACACCTCCCCCACACACACCCCGGGGTGGGGGGCTGCAGCCCACTAGCTCCCACCCCACAGGGAAGGGGCCTCGCTCAGAACAGCCTTGGGCCGCCCTAGAGCCTCCCGCCCAGCAAGCGCCCCCTGTGGCTGCACCAGCTGGCTGCATGACCCCCCCCATGCCAACTACCCCCACGCATGCCCCGTCCTGCACCCCCCACCCCAGTGCACCCCCCCGAGCTCCCCACACGCCCACCCCAATGCAGCCCAGTCCACGCACAGACCCACTTCTGTCCCCCCCCGGCATTGCTGCCCCCCCATCTCTAGTCCTTCCTGTGCCCCACGTAGCCCTCCCCCCCCCGGGGATCGGTGCGTCCCGCCGAGCCCCTCTACACCTGCCCCCTACCACTGCTGCCCGTAACACACGTCTCCTGGGCCCGTGGCCACCACGGGCCGCCTGGCTCCTGCCGTGCCCACCGGGGTGCAGGGGAGTCACGGGCCGGTCCCTGTCAGAGGCTCTGACGCTGTCTGGGAAGGGGGCCCAAAACACCTTGAGCCCTGGGAGGGGGCAAGCTGGGTCTCGGGCCCTGGTCCAGTGCCCATAGTGGGGGGGTGGGCAGGGCACAGCCTGACCTATTTCCCCTTTTCCCTTCTCTGGGCACTGCCACCGACTGTGGGCACAGCCCCCCCAGAGCTCCCCACAGCCCCTCCCGGCCCATCTCCCCCCCATCCCTGGGTGCTGAGCGCCCGCTGTCCCCCCCCAGACTGTGTGTTTGTGCCCCGAGCCCTGCGCCCCTCGCAGCCCATCCCCCCGCACCCCATCCCTGGGTGTTTGTGCCCCGAGCCCTGCACCCCTCACAGCCCATCTCCCCACACCCCATCCCTGGGTGTTTGTGCCCCAAGACCTGGGCCCTGCCCCGAGCCCTGCACCCCTTCCAGCCCATCCCCCCCACCCCATCCCTGGGTGTTTGTGCCCCGAGCCCTGCGCCCTGCCCCGCTCGCCCCTCCCAGTGCTCAGGTCTCCGCACTGCCTGTGTCATCCGACAAACCCCCCACCCCAGAGCTCCCACTGCCCTGCGCCAGCTGGGCCCTGGGGTGCTGCTGGGTGGGTGGGGTGAGGCAGGGCACAGCCCCTCGGGGGCACCAGGTGTGTGTGAGGGGCAGAGCCCAGCCCCGAGGGGTCACCGCGGCAGCAGGGTCCTGGCCGGGGGGGCAGCACCTTGCACTGTAGTTACAGACTCTGCTCCCGGGGTAACAGGCCGGCACCAGGACGTGGCTGCAGGGGAGGGGGGCGGGGGTGTCACCGTGTGAGCATTGGGCAAGGGAGGGACACCCCCTTCCTACCCCTGCAGGGGCTCTTAGCCCTCCAGCCCCTTCGCTTTCAGCCCCAGGCCCAGCCGTTGGGCTTGGTGCCCTGTGCTCCCTTCCCCACCCCCAGCTGTAGGGAGTGGGGAGGGGAGGGGTGTGATGGGGGAAGGGTCCCCCCTTGAGTAGACACCTCCCCCCCGCGCCCCCCGTGGCTCCGAGCAGCCCACAGGCTGGGCACAGACTGAGCTCCTGGGAGCATCCCGACAACCTCAGGCCGCCGTCCCGGCATATCCACGGCCACGCGCTCCCTGCGGGGCTGGACAGACAGACACACACGGCCACGCGCTCCCTGAGGGGCTGGACAGACAGACAAGGAGCCACATGCTCCCTGGAGGGCTGGATAGACAGACACACACGGCCACGCACTCCCTGGGGGGCTGGACAGACGGACAAGGAGCCACATGTTCCCTGGAGGGCTGGATAGACAGACACATGGCCATGTGCTCCCTGGAGGGCTGGACAGACAGACACAGGGCGACAGGCGCCCCGGGATGCACACACAGAGCGCTGTGCACCCGGCTGTGTGCAGGGCCATGCTGACAGACCTGCATGAGGCCTGGATTCGTGGGCCCACGGTGCCATGAACCCGCGCATGGCGCAGTCCCGGGGCTCGGGGAATGTGCCCCTGGGCACCCCTGGGAACAGCCTCACAGGAGCACCCACAAAGGGGTGCGCACTCAGACACAGCCACGCGCCCACGTGGGCACCTGGCCGGCCCACGCCCCAGGGCCCTGCAGCCACAGGCTGCCCGTGCTGTGCGCCTGGCTGCCCCCAGGGCTCACACATTTGGCTGTGTCGGAGCTGAGCTGCCAGCACAGGCCTGGCAAGGGGGTGTCTGGATACAGGGGGAAAGACCCCCCGTGTGGGAACAACAGGCCTGCAAGTGGGGCAGGAGGCTGAGCACCTGGGAACATCCCAACGCCCCCATGCCACAGCCCCGGGCTGTGCACAACCACATGTCCCCCACCACACACACAGCCACGCGGTCCCTGGGGATGGACAGACAGACGCACACGGCCGCTGTTGAATCAACCAGGCAAGGTACTAACAAGCTTCAACAGCACTTTGTTTTCAAAGTGGAAACCCCTTTCCCAAGCTGCTGCTGCACCCTCTGTAGCTCTCTCCCAGCCTCTCAACTCCTCCCCGCTCCTTCCTGTTTCCTGTCCTTTCACACTCCCAACGGCCAATGCACCCAATTCTAATCATTACAAGCAGCATCTAAACACCACATTCCCTCCTCTCTTAAGAAACTCTCCCAATTACAATAAACATTATTGTTCTAACCACAGGAACAAATATGATGCAAGACACTATACTGTTGGCAGAAATATTACACTGAAAACACTGTAGATACCACATAGTCCAGACAGGTGGTCGTCTGGGTCTGACAGGCCGTCTCTCAAGCCCCGGTTCCAGGGCAATGTCTTGTTCTGTGGATACGACGGTGAAGTCATCCAATGCAGACTGGGTGTTGGCATAAGCTCCTCTTAGTGCAAAGGCAGATGCAAGATAAGAAGCATTCCATACCCCCCCATCAGAAAGTCGATAGGTGTAAGGTCCCTTCTTCTCTATGATTTTAAGAGGAGCTGTGAATTTATGGTCCCCTTTGTGTAAAATTCCAGGTTTTCGTATTCTAACAAAGGAACCACACTCAACCTTTGGTTCCTTAGCACCCCCTGCTTGTCTGTGAAAGCCTTAGACTTTGCTTGGTTCTGTTCAACTGTTTTTCTCACATCATCCTCGGTTGGGACATCAGGTCGTGCCTTTAACAATCCAGCAATGTTTGGTTTAGTATTCATCTGTTTCCCACGCAGTAACTCTGCGGGTGATCTTTGCGTTGTGGCATGTTGTGTAGCCCGGTATGCTTGCAAAAAATCAGTAGTGAAGGGTATCCACAATTGCCCTTCCAGTTTAGCCATTTGCAAACTCTCTTTCAAACTTCTGTTAAACCGTTCGATTTCCCCATTGGCTTGCGGGTAGTATAGGGATGATCTTCTGTGTAAAATGTTCCTCTCTGCTAGAAAAGTTTCAAGCTCCAGGGAAATAAATTGACTACCATTATCTGAAACCAGTTTTTGGGGTTACCTTCCCTGCCAAAAACTGAAGAGAGGAACTTAATTACTGTAGCAGAAGAGATTTGCAATGTAAACACTACCTCCGGCCATTTACTGAAACAGTCTATTAAAGTGATGGCATAATAACAGTCACTTGGAGCAGTATCAAAGGGTCCTACAATGTCAATCACCACTTTTTCCCATGCAGCTTCAGGAAGAGGAACAGGCTGTAATGGAGGGGTACATGTCACTGCTGTCTTATCATGCATTTGGCAAGTGACACAGGATTTTATGAGTGCTTCAGTTTGAGAGTCCATCCCTGGCCACCAATACAGATCCCATAGTCAGTGTTTGGTTCGGACAATTCCTTGATGAGTATCGTGTGCCAGGTGTATGAGTTTTGACTGTAATTCTTCTGGCCCAAGGAGCTGGTGTGTACCTCGTCGCACACAGCCATCAAAGAAAGTTTATCTGGAACTCTAAAATAAGGCAGCAAAACTGGGTCAAGGTTTTTAGGGTGACCAGGCCATCTCTTTGTCAGAAATTCCCCATAGTTTTTGTTGAATTGGACAAGCTGAACAAGCAGCTTGAAATTGTTCTCTTGTAACTGCAGTGAGAGTGCTTGTAATAAGTGCAGCCACGACATCCTCATCCTCTGGTGGACCCTCTGGTGAAGGCAAAGGCAGGCGAGAAAGGCAATCAGTGACCACGTTTTGGTTCCAGGCTTATATTCCCATTCATAATTGAAAGAGAGTAGTCTTGCAGACCGTTGAGCAATACGGTATCCTGCTCTTCCCAGTCCTTTCGTGGTGAGCACCGTCGTCCAAGGGCTGCGGTCTGTGCGCAACTTGAACATGCGGCCCCACGGGTAAGTTCTCCATTTTTCAGTAGCCCAGACACAAGCAAGTCCTTCTTTTTCAACTGTAGAATATTTCCTCCCAGCATTACTTAGTGTCCTTGAAGCAAACGCAACCGTCCTCTCTGTGTTGTCCTCATGCAGTTGTGTGAGAACAGCCCCAAGTCTATAATCAGAAGCATCAGACAATTGTGGGCAATGCAGGATGGACTATGTACAATCAAGTCTTTCACCATTTCGAAACTAGCTTGTGCCTCCATTGTCCACGCTAAGGTTGAACTTCTCCTTAGTAATTCCCGTAATGGTTCAATGACAGAAGCATAACTGGGAATTAATTTTGCACACCAGGAGGTAAAACCCAAGAGGGAAAGTAAGGTTTGCAAATCTCTTGGAGGAGGAGCATTTGAAATTGTCAGGATATGATCTGGATCAGGTTTTCGTCCAGTCTGTGAAATTGTATGCCCCAGAAAGGAGAGTTCAGTTTGTCTAAATTTGCATTTGGACCGACTGAGCTGGAGGCCTGCTGTGCTGATGCAGTTTAGTACAAACGGCAGATTATTGTCATGCTCCTCAGAAGTATTTCCAAACACGATAACATCATCCAGATATCACTGAACTCCATGTTGATTCTTCAGAATCAATGACATCATTTTTTGGAAGGCACTTGAACGAGACCGTATGGAACACGTTTAAAATGAAATAGTCCCTCGTGTAATAAATGCTGTGAGGTCTCTGCTATCTTCATGCAACATAACCTGGTAGTATGCGCTCTGCAAATCAAGAGTAGAAAACATCTTTGCTCCACGGAGTTCTGCAAATACTTCTTCCAGGTGAGGAAGAGGATGGCTGTCAATCACAATAGCTTTATTTGATTCCCTTAAATCCACACAAAGGCAAATGCCTCCACCCTTCTTCTGTGTCACTACTGTAGGTGAAACT